CTAGAACTTCCAGTACTATGTTAAAAAAGAGTGGGGAAAGTGGGCATCTTTGTCTTGCCTAGATATTAGAGGTAATATGGACATTTAGATTATGTTAATTCTTCCAACCCATGAACATGGCATAATCTTTCCATTTATTTGTGTCCTCTTCAATTTTTTTCACCAAGTTTTTATACTTTTCATTGTAGATGTCTTTCATATACTTGGTTAAATTCACTCCTAGGTTTTGTTTTGGGTTTTTTTGATAGCTATTGTGAATGAGATTACTTTCTTGATTTCTTCTTCAGCTATTCCATTACTGGCATATAGGAAGGCTATTGATTTTTGTGTATTGGTTTTGTATCCTTCCACTCTACTGACTTTACTTATTAGTCCTAGTAATTTTTTGGTGGAGTATTTAGGGTTTTCTATGTGTATGATCATGTCACTTTCAGTAGGGATAGTCTGACTTCCTCATTTCCAATTTGGATGCCCTTTATGACTTTCTCTTGCCTTGTGGTGCTGGTTAGAACTTCCAATGCTATGTTGAATAAGAGTGGTGAAGTAGATATCCTTGCCTTGCTCCACATCTGAGAGGAAAAGACTCTAATTTTTGTCTATTCAGTATGATATTAGCTGTGAGTTTGTCATATATAGCCTTTATTGTGTTGAGGTACATTTCTTCTATACCCAGTTTCTTAAGTGTTTTTATCATGAAGGAGTGTGGGATATTATCAAATGCTTTTTCCACATCTATTTAAATGACATACGTTTTTTCTCCCTTTATTCTGTTGATGTGCTGTATCACATTTATTGATTTACATATGTTGAACCATGCTTGCAACCCTGGAATGAATCTCACTTGATCATGGTGAATTTTCTTTTAACGTGTTGTTGGATTCTGTTTGCTAGTATTTTTGAGGATCTTTGCATCTGTGTTCATTAGGGATGTTGGTCTGTAGTTTTCTTTTGTGTTGTTGTATCTTTTTCTGGTGTTGGTATGAGGTCAATGTTGGCCTCATAGAATGAGTTAGGAAGTATTCCCTCCTCTTCAGTTTTGTGGAAGAGTTTGAGAAGAATTGGTATTAATTCTTCTTTAAATGTTTAGTATAATTTGACAGTAAAGCCATCTGGTCCTGGGGTTTTCTTTGTTGGGAGACTTTTTATTACTACTTTAATCTTATTACTCCTTATTGGTCTGTTTAGGTTTTCTAGTTCATCATGATTCAATCTTAGCAAGTTGCATATGTGCAGGAATTTATCAATTTCTTCTAGGTTTTCTAGTTTGTTCACAAATAGTTGTTCCTAATAGTCTCTTATGATCCTTTGTATTTCTGTGGTACCAGTTGTAATATCTCCATTTTCATTTCTGATTTTATTTCAGTCTTCTCATTTTTCTTCATTAGTCTAGCTAAAGGTTTACCAATTTTATCTTCTTGAAAAACCAACTGTTTGTTTCATTAATCCTTTGTACTCTTTTTAATCTCAAATTCATTTATTTCTTCTCTGATCTTTGTTATTTCTCTCCTACTAATTCTAAATTTGGTTTGTTCTTGTTTTTCTAGTTTCTTGAGGTATAAGATTAGGTTTTTTATTTGGAGTTTTAATATTTTTGATGTAGGCATTTATTGCTATAAACTTCCACCTTAGAACTGCTTTTACTGTATTTCATAGGTTCTGGTATGTTGTGCATTTTTCTTCATTTGTGTCAGGAATTTTTTAATTTCCTTTTTAGCTTCTCCTACAACCGATTCACTGTTTAGGAGCATGTTGGTTAATTTCCACGGATCTGTACAGCTTCCAATGTTCCAACGGTTATTGATTTCTAGTTTTATTCCACTATCATCTGATTTCAATTCAGTTATGATTTAAATTCTTTTGAATTTGTTGAGACTTCTTTTGTGGCCTAGAATATGGTCTATTCTAGAGAATGTTCTATGTGCTGCTGAGAAGACTGTGCATTCCGCTGCTGTTGGATAGGATGCTCTATAAATGTCTGTTAGGGCCAATTGGTCTAAGGTAGGGATTAACTCTGATGTTTCCCTGTTAATTTTCTGTCTGGATAATCAGTCCATTGCTGAAAGTGGAGTGTTAAAGTCCCCAAATATTATTGTGTTGAAGTCTGGCTCTCCCATTAGGTCTAATAATATTTTTAATATATTGTTTATATATCTGGGTGCTCCAGTGTTGGGTGCATATATATTTAGAATTGTTATATCTTCCTCTTGAGTTGATCCCTTTATTATATAATGACCTTCTTTTATCTTTTTTTAGTTTCTTTGGCTTGAAGTTTATTTTATCAGATACACATGTAACTACTCCTTTTCTTTTTGGATTCCCATTACATTAAACATCTGTTTCCATCCCTTCACTTTCAGTTGGTGTGTCTTTATAGGTGTAGTTAAGTTTCTTGTAGGTATCATATTGTTGGTTAGTCTATTCAGCCACTCTGTGTCTTTTAATTGGGGGATTTAATTCATTTACAATTTGGGTTATTGACAGATAGGGACTTACTTCCATTTTGTTACTTTTTTCCTGTTTTTTTTTTTTTTTGAAGGTCCTTTTTCCTTTTTTTTTTCCTGTTTTAGTGCCTTCCCCCACTTTTCCCACATTTTTAAGTTACATTTTAAAATACTGCCTATTTCTTTTACTGTTGTTGTATTTGTTATTTTCTTTAATAGGTTTGTCTTTTAGTCTTCATACTGAAGACATATGTGGTATATTCACCACCCTTACAGCACTGAACTATTCTGAATTTGTTTGTGAACTTACTTTATAGTGAGTTTTATACCTTCAAGTGTGTTCTTGTTACACTTCTGCATCACCTTCTTTCAGACTGAAGAACTCCTTTTAGCATTTCTTATAAGGCAGGTCTAGTGTTGATGAATTCCCTTAGCTTTCACTTGCTTAGCAAAGTCTATATTTCTTCATATTTGAAGGTTGGTTTTGCTGGATACAAAATTCTTGGTTGAAAGGATTTTCCCTCAGCATTTTAATATATCATCCCACTCTCTCCTGGCCTGTAGGTTTTCTTCTGAGAAATCCACCGAAAGTCATCTTGGGGCTTTATTGAATATATGTTCTTTCTCTCTTGCTGCTTTCAGTATTCTTTCTTTGTCTTTAGTTTCTGATAATTTGGTTATGATGTGCCTGGGGGTATTACTCATTGGATTGAATTTAATTGGTGACCTGTGAGCTTCCTGTACCAGGATGCTGTCATCTTTCTCAATACTTCAAAAGTTTTCAGCCATTATTTTATTAAATATGCTTTCTAGGTCTTTTTTTCTTTTGTCTGCTTCTGGGTACTCTAATCATGTGTAGGTTATTTTGCTTGATGGTGTCTCATAACTGATGCAGTCCTGTTTTGTTTATTTTTAATTCTTTTTTGTTCCTCTGATTGGCTCTATCATATAATTAAACATACTGCTTTATTTGCATGTTTGTCTTTATTCTATGCAACTTGATAAACTCTGGGAGGGTGGGAATTGTGTCCAATCTACTGTGATATCTCCAACCCCTTGCAGAGTGCCTTGCAAATAGTAGGTGAACAATAACTTTCGTTTTCAATCTCTTATTCAAAGAATTACTTATTGTGTACTTTCCTGGGGACTGTGGGTAAAGCAGAAAATATAACACAGAGCTTGTTTTCTGGTTAAAGATTCAGTTAATAAATAAGTACACATATAATTTGTTAGGTGATGAGTGCTGTGAATAAAATAATGTAAGGGACAGAGGAGGGTGGGTTAGATAAGAGTCAGGGAAGGGCTGTATGATAAGATGACATTTGGAATTAAACTTAAATTAAGTATAACACCCAAGTAGATATCAAGGTAAACATTATCAGCGTATAAAATAGTATATCTTCAAGGAACAGTAAAAAGGCCAGTCCGTATTTGGAATTAAACTTAAATTAAGTATAACACCCAAGTAGATATCAAGGTAAACATTATCAGTGTATAAAATAGTATATCTTCAAGGAACAGTAAAAAGGCCAGTCCGCGGCCAGGGCACAGTGAGTGAGCAATGAAGTGATAGGAGATGACATCAGAGTCTGGGAGTCAGATCACATAGTGCTTTTCAGGCCCTGGTAAAGATTTTGGATTTTATTCTGAGTGAGATAAGAAGCCAAATGAGAGTTTTAAGAAGAGAAAAAATATGATTTTGTATATATTTTTAAAGGCTCGCTCTGGCTGCTACATAGATTCTAATCTGATGGGGGATAGGAGAGCAAGGATGAAAACAGGTAGACCAAATAAAAAAAGTATTGTATGTGTGTTCTAGAGAGCACAGTAGCTTGGATTAGAGTAGGAACAGTGAAAGGGGGTTAGATTTATATAGAGCCAACAGAACTTGAGGATGAATTTATTGTGGGAAGTGAAAGAGGAGGATTCAAGGATGGGGTTAAGAATTATGGCCTGAAAGACTGGAAGAAAAGAATTGCTATCTACTAAGTGGGGAGGACAAGGAAAGAAACAGGCTGAGTAGGGATGAGGGAATCAAAGGTTCACTTCTGGATATGTTAAGTGTGAGGTGCCTTGTAGTCATCCAAGTGAAAGTATCAAGCAGGCAGCTGGAAACAGGAGTATGAAGTTCAGGCTAGGAGTCACAGCTCGATGGCAACGACTGAATATAAATAGGGTTCGGGTATCTGAAAATCAAACTCAGAGATTCTTCTTCATTTAGAGATCGGGAAGATGAGGATAAAGAAGAGACTGAGGAGAAGTAGCTAGTGAAGTAAGAGGAAGACCAAAAAAGTGTTAACCCTGAAGTCTGTCCGGAGCCATTAGAGCCTGGCTGCCTGCCTCTGTGGAGCCAAAGAGCCCACCAAAAAAAGGAACTTGTGTCTGCCATTTTTCCTATGTGATATCACAGTTAACGGTAGGTGAATTTAAAATATATTCATTTTTAGGTGATAAAAAATGCATCTTTAGCTGTTAAAAGCACCACATATTGGTGTATTTAAAATTGTTACATCTTCATAAGAATCTAGAATAATTTTAGTAGAATGAGAATGCCCTCACCCATAAACACATCATGAATAATGCTGTCATTCGATAATATCGATAGATTTCCATTTCCTGTAGGTGTTTGTATAACTCCGTTATCGGTGAAATTATTATAATAATAGTAGATCCTGTGTTTATCCCATAGTATTAATTCTGTTATTGCTGAAAATATAAAACGTGGAACTAAAAAGCTGTTAATAGGGACATCTAATTCGAAGTCTTGGCACACCTGCTGTCTTGTATCTTCATTATATATCACTATGTAAATCGTTTTGGTGACAGTACATGTAGTGCAATAACTGAATAACACAGCAAGTTCCAGAGGGTGTCCTGTATACTCAACATTGTGTATAGTCAGAGTATCAAGTGATGATATATTTAGACGATTTCTCATTTCTGTAGTAGTTACTATTTTGACAAAGCTAAGATTAGTATATCCAAGGTAAACTTCATTTTCTGTCCAGATTGCTATGTGGCTTCTGTTTCTTGCTTCCTGTGACAAAATTTAAAACAATTAGAAAAATCTTTGATTTTAGGGAAAGGTCTAACAATTTAGCCTTATAATTTGATGCATTTAAAAATATAAGGTAGTAACTACTAAGGTTTAACTTTGTTTTAGTATTATTTCTGAAGAATACTCCAGGCATAAAAATATATTAAATAGAAATATACCATATTACATATAACCATACAAATAATTATTCCAGTAATTTTATTCTTTTGTATATTTTCCTATCAGTAGGAATAATAAATATTAATTCCCTTTTAAATCTTTAAAGCAAATCAAACTTCTCTTTCCTTATGTATTTACCACTCTTGCCAGGAGAGTCTCTTTGACCTTAATGTTTACTAAGGTCGAGATATAAGAGCATTTCAAACATTTAATTTTGGGGGGGCTGGCCCTGTGGAGCACTAGGGAGAGTGCGGCACTGGGAGCGCAGGGACGCTCCTGCTGTGGGTTCGGATCCTATATAGGGATGGCTGGTGCACTCACTGGCTGAGTGCAGTGTGGGCGACACCACACCAAAGGGTTGCGATCCCCTTACCGGTCACGAAAAAGACAAAAAAAAAAAGAAAAGAAAAGAAAAGAAACATTTAATCTTTTTGGAATTCTGGATTTTTTAAATGTCAGGTAAAGATAACAGAGAACTTAAAATCTTAGGCAAATCAATCCTACCCTTTTATGGACACAGGCTGTTAGAGGGGAATGGCCTATAGAAACTGCTGTGTCTGAAATTTAGTGGGCCTAATTTCATTTAGAGAGCCAAGGCCCCCCTCCTCCCCTGTCACCTCTCCCTACCTGTTTCTAATTTTTACTTACAATGTAATGAGAGAGAGAGAGAGAGAGAGAGAGAGAGAATCTCCCAATGCACAAAAATCCTGAGGCAGACAAGAGGGAAGAAAATCTCCCAGTGACCAAATAGCTGGAAGCCAGGCTGTAAAGCAGAGCTAGCTCTTCCAGGGTTTGGAAAGTAGGTGGCTCAACTGTACAGTACAAAGAGATCTCTGTAATCTTTTCAGTGCTAAGATCCCAAACATGGCTAAAGAGAAAATAACTATGATAAAAATAACTATGATAAAGATGGGCAACATGAGTGAAGAGATGGGGAATTTCAGCTAAGACATGGAAATGATTTAAAAAAAAGGAAATGCTAGAAATAAAAAATATGATGTCAAGAATAACAGAATTATTAGATGGACTTAACAGCAAACTGAAGAAGCAGAGGAACAGAACAGTGAACTTGAAGACAGATTAACAGCATGTATACACACCAAAAATACAAAGAGAGTGAAAAAATAATGAACGGGTCATCTGAGATCTATGGGACATTATTAAATGGTCTCATATGTGTTTTTAGAATTTTAGAAAAAGATTTTCATCTAAAAATTTTAGATGAAAAAGAGAATGGGGTGGAAGAAATATTTGAAGACATAATGGCCAAGGACATTCCAAAATTAATGAAAGACGTCAGCCCAGAAATCCAAGAAGCTTAACTGAACATTAAGTAGGATAAATACAAAGGAAATCACACCTAAACACATTAAAAAAAAAAAAAACCCTGCTGAAAACCAAAGATAAAGAACAATCTTAAGAACAACTAGAGGTAATAAGACACATTACATACATGAGAACAATAATACAAATAATGGCCTATTTTTTACCAAAGTGATGGAGGCCGTAATATAATGGAAAGATGTCTTTATAAATTGCTTTTAAAACAAGACAACAATAAAAGCCACCTGTATCCTACAATTCCATATTCAGTGAAAAATATTTTTCAAAAATGAAGGTGAAAAACTTTTTCATACAGACAAATGCTGAGAGAACTTGCAATACAAAAAATTTTAAAGAAGTTCTTTAGGCTGAAGGGAAATGAAACCAAAAGGAACTCTGGATATGCAGAGTTTATATCTATATTTGTACACATTTATGACAATTGGCTATTTAAATCAAATATTAACAATGAATTATAGAATTTATTATAGCATATTTAGAAGAAAACAAATGCCAAGATGATAAACTTAAACATAGCAATAGTTACATTAAATCTGAGTAGGCAAAATACTGCAATTTAAGCATAGAGACTATTACCCTGATAAAAAGGCAGCTTAAATGTAAAGGCATAGACAGGTTGATAGTAAAAGGGTAGAAAAACATACACTATACAAGAACTAAACATAAGAAAGCTAGTGTTGCTATATTACTATATTCAACTAAAATCAAAATGAAGTATTACTTCACACCCACTGAGAGTTTAATAAAACAAAGGACACACGAAAATTTGCTGAGGTGTGGAGCCACTGTGAAAAAGGCTGCTATAAATATTTTATAATGTCTTAATTACTACAGCTTTATAATGTGCGGTAGAAGAAATTCTCTACTACCTCATCCCCTCCCAACTCTCAGCTCTTTATTCTTTCATATGTTTTTTACTTTATTTTGGGGTGTGGCTGGCTGTATGGGGATCTGAACGCTTGCCTGTGGTGCTGTAACACCACGCTCTAAACAATTGAGCTAACCAGCCAGCACCATATATATTTTAGAATCAATTTATTGACTTCCACAAGTAAAATTGGGATTTTTATTGAAATTGCATCAAATATATAGATAAATTTGAGAAGAACTGAAAATTTTATAATATCCTGTGTTCCTACCCATAAACATGATATAGCTTCCCATTTATTTAGGTCTTCTTTACTGTTTTTATAACATTGTATTTTTATCTCAACCAAGATCTTATTCATTTTCAGTGGGATTTGTTTCTAGATACCTTTCAATTTTTCTATTTTAAATTTTCTTATCATATTTTAGATCAGATACTCAAGAATTGATGTCTTAACAGTATTAAATCTTCCCACCCATGGAAATATATATACATACAAATATATATATTATACACACACACACGCACACATATGTGTGTATATTTGCGGTTGGCCGATATGGGGACCTGAACCCTTGACCTTGGTGTTACAAGGCTGTGCTCTAACCAACTGAGAAACCAGCCAGCCCCATGATATATTTCTCCATTTATTTGTCTTTTGTTTTACTCATTAGTGTTTTGTAGTTTTTAATGCACAAGTTTGCAAATCTTTTTTCAGTTTATCTTGTAGTATTTCGTATTTTTAATCTATTGTAAACAGTATTTTTAAAATTTAAATTTATGATTGCTTGTATAGAAATACAATTGGTTTTTAAAATATCGATCTTATATCCTGCAATCTTAGTAAACACACTCAGTAGCCCTAATAGTTTTATATAGATCCTGTTAGTGTTTCTTCATTTAATAATGCTGTTTGTGAATATAGTCTTATTTCTTCCTTTCCAAAACCTTTTTTCTTGACTTATTGCACCTGATCAGACCTAAAGTACAATGTTGAATAGACGTGGTGTGAGACATTCTTGCCTTATTTTAAGCAAGAAAGGCAAAAGAGAAACAAAGGAACAAAGAACAGGTGGTATTAATAGAAAACAAATACCGCAATTGTAGACTAACCTAACCACAACAATAATTACATTAAATCTAAATGGACTAAATATTCTTTTACCATTTTGTGCAATATTAGCTATAGGTTTCTCATAAATGTCCTTTGTCAAGTTGAGGAATTTGCCTTTATTCCTAATTTTTTAAAAAAATTATTATATTAGATTTTGTTAAATGCTTTATGTGCATTTATTGAGATGATCATATGGTTTTTCTTTTTTAATTTGCTAATATGGTGAATTAACATTCATTGATTTCTATTGTAAACCACCCTTTAATTCCTGGGATAAACCCCTCTTGGTCATGATATATTTTCCTTTTCATATGTTGTTGGTTTCCTAAAACTTTATTTAGAAATTTTAAATCTTTGTTTATGAGAGTTATTGGTCTGTAGTTTTATATAGACCAATATAAAATGCTGCCTCATAGAATGAGTTGGGAAGTATGTTCTCCTTTTCAATTTTCTGAGTTTGTTTAGAATTGGTATTATTTATTTTTAAAATATATGGTAGAATTCACCAATAAAATCCTCTTGGCTTAGAGTTTTCTTTGTGGGAAAGTTTTTATTAACACTCAATTTCTTTAATTGATATAGCATATTCATGTTGTCTATTTCTTCTTGAGTAAGTTTTGGTAGTTTGTGTCTTTCAAAAAATTTGTCCATTTCATTTATGTTTTGAATATTTTGTTTTAACTTTTTATTTAAAGTTGCTTATAACATTCCTTTATTGTCCTTTTAATAGCCATAGAATTTGTAGTAATTCCACTTCTCACAATACTGACACTGGTAATTTGTGTCTTCTCTCTTTCTATCCTTATCAGTCTGGATAAAGAGTTATCAATTATACTGATATTTTTTAAAAACCCAGCTTTTGGTTCCATTGATTTCTCTCTGCAGTTTTTCTGTTCCCTATGTCATTAACTTACCCAGTAATTTTTATTACTTCCTTTCTTCTGCTCACTTTTGGTTTAATTCTCCCTTCTTTTTGTAGCTTCTTAATGGGTGCTGATAACACCAAGGCCACGGGTTCGGATCCCATATAGGGATGGCCGGTTAGCTCGCTGGCTGAGCGTGGTGTTGACAACACCAAGCCAAGGGTTGAGATCCCCTTACCGGTCATCTTTAAAAAAAAAACAACCCAGCTTTTGGTTCCATTGATTTCTCTCTGCAGTTTTTCTGTTCCCTATGTCATTCTTATCAGTCTGGATAAAGAGTTATCAATTATACTGATATTTTTTAAAAACCCAGCTTTTGGTTCCATTGATTTCTCTCTGCAGTTTTTCTGTTCCCTATGTCATTACTTACCCAGTAATTTTTATTACTTCCTTTCTTCTGCTCACTTTTGGTTTAATTCTCCCTTCTTTTTGTAGCTTCTTAATGTGGAGATAATTAATTTGAGACATTGCTTCTTTTCTAATATAGGAAATTAATGCTTTAAATTTCCTTCTAGGTACTGCTTTAGTAGCATCCCACGTTTTGACATGTCTTGTTTTCATTTTATTTCAG